TAATTCTAATTCTAATTCTAATTCTAACATCCCCCCGCATACCAGGCCAGTATACTTGTCTCTGCAGATGCCCCATAGTCTTAGTTACGCCCAAGTGGCCAGCCATGGGATGATCATGGAAGTACCTCAGCAGAGTGCCACACAGAGACTCTGGTGTATAAAAACGTAAGTCCTTTTCTGGATGCAACCGGCAGGAAGCTCTCTTGTCCCTGTAGTAGACTACCCCATCCCGTATACAGAATCCTGATAAGTCCACACAGGAGCCACTCTCCAGGTCAGTGTATAATGCTGAAATTACTTGGTCAGCTTGCTGGATCGACCGCAGCTGTTCCTTGTCTTCCAATACTAATGGCAGCTGATGTCTAAGGTTCAAAGAGGCTACAGTGGCATAAGGCGGTAACAGGTCCACTGGCTCACTGGGATTGCTGATAGGGTTACGTGACAGGGCATCCGGCACTAAATTGGCAGAGCCAGGTCTGTGTACAACTTCAAAGTCAAAGTCCTGCAGTCGTAAGCACCATCGTGCCAGCCGGCCTGAGGGGGAGGGCCTCGTCATCAGCCACCTTAAGCTGTTGTGGTCCGTCACCACTGTGACACTAGAGCCTTCAATATAAGGTCGGAAATGCTCCAGAGCCCAGATCACCCCTAAGCACTCCTTCTCTGAAGTGGAATACGGACGTTCAGATTTGTGCAGCGTTCGACTCGCAAAAGCGACAGGTCTCTCCAAGCCATCCTCCGCAATCTGGGTCAGTGCAGCGCCAAGGCCAACACCGCAAGTGTCCGTGTGCACTGTAAAAGGCTTTTCAAAGTCCGGCAATACGAGGATTGGCGCACTGACTAGCTGCTGTTTCAAACGATCAAATGACTCCTGGCACTCAGTGGACCACACAAATGAGGCATCCTCCTTCATGAGGGCAATCATCGGCTCTGCAATACGGGCATAGCCTGAGATGAACCTACGGTAGTAACTTGTCATACCCAGGAATTGCTCTACATTTTTAACTGTCTTTGGCACGGGGAATTGTCTGATCGCTGCTACTTTACCCTCGGCAGGGCCAATGCCTTCCGGAGTCACCAGGTAACCCAAGTAAAGCAACTTCAGCGTACAGAAATGGCATTTGGCCAGTTTCAAGGAAAGACCAGCATCTGCCAACCGCCCCAACACTGCTAAGGTCCGTTAGGTGCTGGTCAAAGATCGGCGAGGCGATTACAATGTCATCGAGATACACCATACAACAGTTATGGGTGAGTCCTGCCAGAACAGTATTCATCAATCTTTTGGAATGTCGCAGGAGCATTTGACAATCCAAAAGGCATCACTTTAAACTGTTAAAGCCCTTTGTGTGACACAAAAGCTGTCTTTGGTTTTGAGTCTGGAGCCACTGAAACCTGCCAGTAACCCCGTGCAAGGTCTAGCGTGGAAATAAACTTACCACGTGCTAAAAAATCCAGAGAGTCATCCACCCTTGGGAGTGGGTATGAGTCCCTCACTGTAACCTTGTTAACCATCCTAAAATCCACACAAAATCTCGGGTCTGTGCCTGGCTTTTCAACTATTACAACTGGGGAGACCCAGGGCCCTGAGGCAGGTTCAATAATTCCATCCTCCAACATCTTGGCAATCCGCTCTTCAATAACCTTCCTTTTCACAGGTGAAGCACGGTAAGGAGGAAGAGACACTGGTTTTGTTGTTCCAGTATCTATTGTATGTTCTACCAAATAAGTTCGCCCCAGTTTTCCCCCAAAGAGATGTGCGAAGTCCCTCAACAGGTTTGCCAGCTTTTCTTTGTCTCCTGCAGGTAGTGCTGCCTGTTCCGCCAGTGGGCCCAGGTCAATTTGAGCATCCTTAAAGGTCAGGCAAGCTACATGTCCTTCCAAATCCTCAAACTCCTCCCCAAACATGCTTAGATCTGGGCCTGTATTCACAAAGCTTCTTAAGCCTAAAAGTTGCTCCTAGTGATGAAATTCTAAGAAAAATCTTAGAATTATGGCATTTTCCTAGAATTTCCCCTTAAATTTAGGATTAAATCTTAGTAAAGATAAAAATGATTCACAAAACATCTTAGCCCTAAAAACAGCTCCTAAGGTAAAATTTGTTAAGAGTAGAGAGGAGGACTTTTAAGAGGCTTAAGAGTTTCTATAGCAGAGGACGAAATGGCGGACAGAAGAAATATTCTCCAAACACTGAATGATCGTGAGTTAATTAAACGCTACAGATTGGATCATGATGGGATAATGTTTGTGGTCGAACTTATTAGAGATGCGCTCACATCTCCCACTCAACGTAGTAATGCCATAACGCCAGAAATGAAAGTGATTACAACACTGAGGTATTTGGCAACTGGAAAAATGCAACAGTGCAGTAGTGATGACTTGTGTCTGTCACAACCTTCCATCAGCAGAGTGATCACACAAACTATTGAAGCGCTTTCACAGTACATATAGTGAAACAGTTCATTTCATTTCGACTGGATGTTCGCACTCTGCAGGCTCACAAAAGGGCATTCATGGACATAGCGGGGTTTCCCGGTGTTGTCGGTGTAATTGATGGGACACACATCTGCATAATCACACCATCGGAAAATGAAGATGTTTTTGTCAACAGAAAGAGGTTCCACAGCATCAATACACAACTTGTTTTCAGTGCAGATTACAATATTTTACACATTGTTGCAAAGTGGCCAGGCTCAACACATAATGCCAGGATACTGTCTGAGAGTGGCCTGAAACAGCTTTTTGAAGGACATTATGTGCCAGTTAACTGTCATTTGTTAGGGGACAGTGGCTATCTATGCAAACCATGGCTCCTCACACCTTACCTCCACCCAGACCCAGGACCACAGCTAAACTACAACAGGTACTAAACAGTAGACTAACAGTGAATCATTGTGCATGAAAATAAAGTGTAGTTACAAATGTGAATATACTACAAACAAGAGAAGGCTCTTTAATCAAACATATCCACATTATTGTTGAGTACATTAGGCCACCTTAACTTATATCTTTTGATATTTTCTCTTTTAGAGCCCACAAGAAAACACGTTCAGTAGTTGAGCGGGGTATTGGCCAGCTGAAGAGGAGGTTTCATGTGTTGCATGGAGAAGTGCGCCTGTCACCAGCTAAGGTCTGCAAAGTCATTACAGCCTGTGCAGTGCTTCACAACATCTGCAAAGTACGACAAATCCCCGAACCTCTCGAAAGCAGCCATGGTAACAGTGATGAAGGTGATTGTAATGAATATGATGAAGACATTCAGTTTACCCAGGGGAGAGACATGTCCCAGAGTGGGCTTCGTCACAGAGCTCAATTTACAAATTTGCATTTTAGGTAAGTGACAGTAACTGCTGTCTGTAGCCCATTGAACAAATATTCCATTCAACTATAGTTGAACACAAATGCTGTTATTTTTCATTCTTTTTATATTTTAGCAGCTCAATTTTTAGCTTATAATACTCCTCCTGTAAACAGAG